TGCACCTAATATCCTAGACACTCAAGAAATGAAAATTAATGTTTATACATCATGTATCTCTTCTTTCTCTCTCTCGTGTGTATATGTCCCCTTATGCATAAATATACAAAAGCCTGCAAATATGCATTTATTTTTGAGTTATAAAATATAAAACTTTAAAACATTTAAATATAAAATGTGCAGCATAACATTTTTTCTTCACCTTTTTGCAATCATACCCTGCTATCACCAGCTTACAGGGCCTCTCCTCTGCCTAGCCCTAGGGTTCATTACTGCTTCCTTGCTTTCTCCCTTTATTTCTCTACCTCATACTGTTGCCACCAGCTCCAGCAATATTCGGCAAATGCCTAAATCAATGAGCCAAGCTGAACTCTGCTGTCTTTGTCTAAAGCTATATGGATGTGTCAACACCATACTCCTTAGGGCCCCAGTTCTATAAACATCATCCAGAGGGACACAAGCTAGCCCAGCACAGAGCCTGGAAAGATCCAGGAGAGATTATTACTTGGGCTCCAAACCATGCTGTGCCTCATCTGCAACATGATTATATTTCAGTATCGATACAGATTCCACTGGTTGAGAACTGATTAAAAAGTTGTGTGAAATGTAGTAGAAAAATAAGCCTTCTCCTTTCTTGAATCCTTGAATAACCCAGCCACAGCCATGTTGCCATAAACTTTAACTATAAATCTAGGAGGTTACAAGCATCCTACTTGTTACATTAAATATGAAACACTTACGTAAACTAATTTTACATTCAGTTTAGTGTCTAGCTTTCTTTATGATTTCACTAGTATTCTTAAGTAGTACAAAACTTGAAGAACAGAACATGCTTAAAGAAAGTAATGTATGATGTCCTATACAAAGACATGTAAAATATTTAACAGACTCAGATGGTACCGCTATTTGAGTAAAGGTACCTAACCTCTTTATTTGTTTCTGTCTTTGCAGGTGTGAGGCATTATTTTTGCTTACTTGTTATTGTATTTCTCAGAATAAACTAAAAAGCGATCTTTACCCTAAAAATATTGTATGTACTGCTTTCCTATACTTCCAATAACTTCTTTTATAAATCCTCCAAGCACTGCCTCAGTGCTACAAAACAGAACACTCTAAAAGATATAAGAATGCAAAACATTAACAGCATCTGAAAAACACAATGTGTATTGTGTCAAGGCCTTGTATGCTGAGGCTTGTATTGCAAGAATGATGACTACTGATGTAACTCATCCTATCTCCTTATTCAAAGTAGGCACTGCAGAGCTACACAGGAAGACAGAGCCACTGATATGTACGCTTTTGTCATAAATAAAAAATTTGAAACAAATAAAACCTCTCTGTACATGAGAGCTCACTGAACTTTAAAAATTTTTAAAATTTTATTCTAAATTTCAAATCACGCAAGACTAAAATAAATCATGAAGATTTGCATGTTGCTGTTTGATTTCCATTTACAATAAGGAAGAGCGAGGAAGGAATAGTGTGATTGAGGAGGTGGAGCAGAAGAGTCCAGGACACAGTTGCACAGATATTTCACTAGAGGACAAGAGATTTGTGTTCTTCCTTGGTAGAACTGAATTGCGCTACCAAACTTCCTCTCCTCACTAGAGGACTAAAAGGGATGGGTGATTCTTGAAGAGCTCCATCACAGAGTTCCTTCTGAGGAACCAGCCTTTCATGGTGTTTTGCTTCTTCTGGTGATGATGGCAGTCGATGTTGAGGAAGTACATTTCCACTTCATTGGCAGATTGAAGGACCCTTGCCTTTTCCACCTTCAGATATCCACCAGTGTTTGGCTGGCCTCCAGCACCATTATCAGCAAGAAAACCTCTCCACCTTTTTCACACAGTTACAAGGAAGATGTGTTCCCAAGTTTCAGTGTGTGTACATACACTCCAGAAGTGTTTATTGCCCAGGAATTGCTGCCCAGTAATACAATAAGACAACAATTGCACTCAGCAGCAGCAACAGTAGCAGCAAGCTGTAATTGTTGGACAGTTGTTTGTATCAGCCCATGAGATGGGCTGAAATTCTTGGATCCTTTTGCCTTTCCCTCCATCTTGTCCTCAACCCTTGCAAAATCCTTCTCTTACTTCTCTAAAACATGCAGCTATTAAAAAATCGAAGTACTATATTCATCATTTAGGGTTTTTAGTGGGCCTGTGCTCTTATGCTGAACTCTGACAAGCACTGAAAGGCAGGTGCCCTCTAGTGCTGGGTCTCAAATGAGGGTTGGTTGGGAAAAAAATGATTTCTCATGCCTGGCTTAAGTGTAACACTGTGGAAGATAGCTGGGTCTCAGTCTCATGCTTGCTACTATTTGATATCTCTGCCCAGTGATCCTATTGCTTCCTGGGTCTCCTGGTGTGTGGGGTAAGAAGAATTGGAGAGAACTGCTGTATCCAAGGTCTAATTGCAACAGAGAACTGTGACAGGTGTGATAAATGAGTGAACCATTATGCAAGAACAGAGAAAAAACAGAGTGTGATGGTTGGTATGAAAGTAGACTAGGCTAAAAAAGAGATGCCTCATTAAATACAAGGGCTTAGTTAGCTAAAGTGCTGCCCTTTGAGTATAAAGGGTTTAACTGTGTGGCCATGTGACAACATGACTACAATACAGGAGGTCCTTTGGAGTCAGAGGATCAGAATGCATTGAATGCATTTTTTCCTGGGTAAATTAGAGGAGAAGAAATTAGAATATTACCCTTACTGATAATAGTAAATAGTTCAAGTAGGAAATGAACCGTTTTCCAGAATTGCTTTAGGGTAGTTACAATTAGGGGGCAGAAGAATTCATATTATCCAATAAATATGTGGAACTCAGATACCTGAGAAAGCTCACGTCAGAGGACAAACTCTGTCAGCTGAGGCAGAGCAACTTCAGGAACAGTATAACCCACGTTCAGACTGAGGACGACTGAAGCAGCCTGGGCATTCTGCTTTCCCTAGAAAATGCTCCACCAATTAGTTAACACGACATTTCTGTTCTTTTGCACCTCTTAATTATACAAAACAGTTAGCAAATGATATGGCTAGTTACAGCCAAGAATCTAGGCCATTTTACAGGACGGATCCCTAAAACTGTGGGTGGGTACAATATCCAAATTTCCTAATGGGAAAAATAACAGCATTTATATAAAGCAATTGCTATGTTTCCTTTTTCACAAATACTTACCAACCTGAAAAGATAAAATCTTATCTATAATTTCACTGCTAGACATTGATTCTTAAGAAAAATCCTGCCAACAACAAAAACAATGTCATGAAACATGCATTTGATGCACTCTCCTCCTTTATGACATTGTTGTAAAACATTATAAGCTCCATTGTCAGTCAATGTATATCAGTGCAGCTCCGCTGACTTTTAAGGAGGTAGGCACAAGCATTTCCGTTAAAGAGCTTTCCCTATAGATTGTATCACTTACAGGCAGTTTCATTCTGTCAAATGTAATTTGTTTAAATGCACACAAGAAACAGAACCTAGTTCAAATAACAAATTCAGATTCCATAATACAAGCTTAGATATAAACTTTATAATAATCTCCCTACAAAGTTTTTTTTAGGAACCGTTTAAATGACTAATGGAACTATGAAAGCTCAGCTTATTTTGACTGCAGTGGGTGTGGGAGTGAGGTCAGTCACTCTCAGAAGATGGATATTGGCTGACGGTTAAGCACTGATGGGAGAAAGAAACCTTTGAGACAAAATACAGCTGAAAATGACATGTGTACATCCTCACACTTAAATATTTCAGTTTAGGATAATTGAAACACTGCTAAGATGATTTAAACTAACCTGTCTGGCTTCATCTTAAAACGGATTAGGAGTATTCACGCAATCGGTTAATGAGGTCCAGCTATTAATCTAATTGAGCTGACAAGCTAGTATCAACCAATTTGGAACTATACTGTATTAGTGGGGAATTCTAAATCCTTGTGATTATTGAGTTAATTGGATAAAAATACTATGTTAGACTTTCTGTGAACAATTTCTTAAATCTCAGTGAATCACAAGGCATAGGCAACATGGGCAAAAGCAGTTATCAGATTGAAGAACTGTATGTACCTAATAAAAATAACTTGTTTACGCTGCACAGATAAATTGCATTAGCCAAAGATACTTCTTTTGGTGTCTGGCATTTAAAAGGCAAGCTATTTTACAGTTCCTTAGTGATCAGGCACAGAGATTATTTATTGCAAGAGATTCTCTCAGTAAATAATTAACGATAAGTCCAACATCTCCATAACAGATTAGTTCTTGACAAATAAATCATCTGGAGGGAGAAAAATCAGGTGAAGAAATCTTTCAAGCTGAGGACCATAATGTAAGGACTATCAATGCATCTATAGACCAAAAAAGGGAGGAGAATTTTGTCCTGTCATGTTTATACCCATTAATGCAAAATCATGAGTGCAATAAAAATTCAAACAATATTAAACATTTGTTTTAAATTCTCCTTTTCAAAAATCTGTTGAGGTAACATCTTATTTATGAGTCCACAACAGCAGCAATAAATATATGTATACTCATTCATAGACTGTATATAAATTCGCTTATACCTCTGAGGTATCATCGAGAGGTTTAGATCGGGTTTCCAGCTAGCAGTGTTTATGCAGTTATTATAGATGCCCTTCTTCCAGAAGGAACAAAGACTAAGCAGTATAGTACTGCTGCAGGCCGGGCCCCCCGGGCGCTCCCAGCCCTCCCTGTCCCTGCCCGCCCCCCGCAGCCCCCGGGCCTCCC